ACATTGTCCCGTATTGGCCTATGTTACTTGTCATGAAAGCACTATACCTGACATAAAGCTGCTATCTAGTACCAATATATAGGGATGTCTCCTGGATCGAAAGTCTCTTTTAAAACTCAGATCTGTGCATTTGCAAGTGGTACATCATAATGTTTCTCATCACTAAGCCACAAGACAAAAGCATGATGGCCATATTTATAATGTCATTAATGTGTGAAGAATGAAGACTGGGTCTCACAGGTACAGTTTTCTCAATAGAAGTATACAGGTAAGGTAAGAACTTGTACAGTACCCTGGAGGGTGTAGTGTATAACGTAGAGTTGCAAAGGTAAGTCTCTGTAATACACTGGCTTGATTTTAAGTATGGAGACTGACATGAGCAGACATCTATCTATCTAAGTGCTGAGCATGTATAAGTAAGGCATCTTCCACCTACCTGTCATGCACTTGTATTTTCATGCCTTGCATCCCACAAATCAACTCTGTGTAAAGGAGCAGTTCTAGGACCTGTTAAATATTTTTTAGACTTCATTAAGACCTTAAACCAGTAAAACTTCATGTGTGTATTTCTTATGGGAATTAAGCATATCCAAGTACCTACATGTAAGATTTTGCAGGATTGGGTTTTGATCAGTTATTGAATTAACATGCCGTTTGCATAAATTAACGGTACCTGTTTTGTGTTTCTAGTCTGTACATGTTCTCATATCAAATGTACATTTTTTAGGTAAGTTGCTCAGTAGAAAAATAACATGTATCATGGTTGCCTTACTAACTAAACGCTTTTCTCTATTTGTCTGACTATGCTAACACTACCGAAGCAAGAGCCTGATGTTTGGAATGTTTGTGGTTTATTAACTTAAAAAGAATTAATGTGCATGTGGTTGGAGGATTGCGTGGTTTAAAACTTTAAAAATAGATCCCAAACCTCACATCAATATACATTTCTGAGTATTTTTAATTGAAGTTTTAAGAAAAAAAAAAAAAGGGTGCTACAACACCTAACAAATAACACACTAACTTTTCCAGGTCTGGGGCACTTGAGGGAGCGCATCATGTGAATTATATCAATTCAAAGAAAGATTATATCAAGCAGCATGGAAAAAGTATGAGACATGGTAAATGCTACAGAGAAAACTTATTCTTTATAGCAGTGATCCATGCTCAGAAGAGCAGTGCACAAAGGTTGTGCATAGGTACATTTTCCTTCTTAGCTGCTTGCCGAGAGCAGAAGCTGGAGAAACATTAGTAGCAATATGTCAGTAGATTAGAGTTAGGGCTCAGCACTCACAATGGCCATTTAATGAACTACTTTGATGCTTTAAGGGTCCACGTTGCCAGAATGATCATGTATTCATGGATACATGTGCTGCACAGCTGTTACAGAGAGCTACTTTGACCTCCAGCAATCCTGAGTTTGCTGCTGTCTGTAGAAAGTTACATGTGCTTCTGCTTCAGGCTGTCACCTGCCCTATTATAAATTTTCCACAACTTTCCAGACTTCTTGTGTGTAAAGGCTTTTATTTCATCATTATGCAGGATTTCCAAGTGATACATCATTGCTACTGTTTGGTATGTGGTTGCTACTGCTTGTGAGACACCTTGTCTATTTGGGTGCTGTAGGGTTGTTCATGTGGCCATTTTAAAGACAGGTCCCATTTTAGGCGTACTAAAAGAAGCTGTCCAGACACTTCTGTATTAGGCAAATGCATCCTTTTTTTCATGTTAGTATTCTTTGTATTACTGTGCCACCTAAGACGCACGGTCACAGAGAGGATCACAAGTTATGTGACATTGTACACAGGCCTACAAAACAATTCTTTTTTAGTACTGGAATACCATACCTTCTAAGATAGTTCTTTTAATTTACTGTGTATGACCTTGTTTACTTGTTCTGAGGAATAGGTAACAGCTTCTCTAGGAAGACAGTTGTCATCTTGCACTGTCTCATGCTCATCTTCACTTCAGGTACCAGTACACAAGAAAATAACTTTTCCTTTCCAAAGTCTCATGGTGATCAATTTAAACTTTCTCATCTCTTTAATCAATAGTGGTTCTAACTTGATCTATGCAGTTAATTTCTATTTAGATACTTATTTTCAGACAGGCTACCTGGATTGTAGCACTGCAGAACAAAGAGATTGCACATGGTAGCTCTGTGTGAGTTGGAACTTTATTGTTTTATTTTTCTTCTCTGTGAACTCGGAGATACTTGATTAGCAGAAGTAGTGATACCAATAAAAAGTCAACTTGCAGTGTTGACTCCCCTAATGTGCTTTCATTTTTCACTTTCAAATTAAATTCCATGCTTATGGAATACCTGCTACTCTATAGAGCAAAACCATTAAACAAGAGCTAGTAGTTGGAACAAAATGTGCAATGTTTCTAACTGATGGAGGGAATGAAGTAGACTTAGCTATACCTGCAAGTAAAATAGATTGAGAGATTCAAAAAGAATGGGAAATTAGGAGGAAGAGAAGAAATTAGCTGAATATTTTTGGGTTCCCTCACTCACTTTACACTTTTTTCTGAAGTGCGTGTATGTATCACCTACTTTTGAGATCCAAAATGTGTGATATATTGATGACTCTTGTTTGCATACAACAGTGTTTGCATTTGGTAATCATTAATCACTGTATTATAGTAGGCCCCAAGAGAACACACCAGGGTATCAATACTTTTGTTCCAAATCATGTTTCTACTAGCAGTAGCTAGAAATGCTTGTAAATTACCATGTTAAAAAATAACTTTCATCCACAGAAGGGAACTACGCAGATGTTTACCATCCCCACAAAATCACCAGTCTGGCACAAGAAGTGAAATATGGGAGTTTGCTTTAATATAGTACTGACTATAAACCAAAATGGAATATGATCATCATTAAATAAGATCCCCTGCTGGTAAAATGGCCTGTGTTGAAAAGCATGTTCCTTAGCTTAGTTCTAAACCTACACTTGATTTTCATTTATTCTGAGAGGTCCTTTGAGAACAGACTGTAAATTCATGTACACATCTTTATTTTTATTGATATTTGAAAGAGAACTAGTCAATCTTCTTGTTGCGAGATGATTTCTGGAGACAGTAAAGCAGTTGCTATGCTCTTAATTTCTGTAAGCTGACATTTCAAATTAAGCCAAATTCCGTGGTTAAAAAGTGTTTTATTGCATTAATTAAATGGCTTGTTGGAGATGCCACATTGTTGGATACCACTTTAGGTAACAACAAATAAATAATGAAGTGAAAGAGGGACAGGAATGGCAATGGAGGAGGGGAGACTTTCTGAAAAGGGGGGAGGAAGAAACACTGTTTATGCACTGTTGGGAGAAAAGTGGGGCTTTTATTTTGTAAATATCTGCCTGTGATCCATTTCCAAATGAGCTGAGGATTTTTCTGCTGTTCAACCAATATGAAGTTAAAAGAAAAACAGCAACAAATGGAATGAAAGAAGCTGGTTTTTCAGGTTCCCAGTGATAAAGAGAACAAACTGATGGCCTAAGTTGCAGATTGGGACTTCCATCCTTCTGCATTAGTATTGGGTATACTCCATGTGCCAGTCAGACAGTGCTAAATGAAGATACTCCTCTTTCCTGACAGCATTAAAAAATTATAGACATGAAATAGAAATATGCAAAAGTAGCATGTGTGCCTGCTTTTTCTCTGTTAACCCCCTGAAAGAATAGACTGACTCATTATAATTTCTGCTTTACTTGGTGAGGGAATGTGCTCTAATCAGCTTCATTTGATTGTGAGTCCTTAAACAGGGGACGCAGGTCTTAAACTACCATTTCCTCAAAATATTGTGTTAGGGAATGATTTAAGTAGCTACCTCTTAATTACTATAGGGTAGGATAAAATTGATTTAGAAAGAATGCTTTTGCAGAACAGAATTATTTTTACCTAGAGTGCAGATATTACCATGCCTATACTTCTGGGGGGGGAAGAATAATCCTCAGGCACAATGGGAAGGAAGCCTAGCTTCAGTATCTTAACCTGAAGCATGACCAAGAGAAATAAAGCAGAATGAAAGCACTAAGTGCAATCAAATGCCTGTGGTCTTGAGCACAGTTTGAATAGCCAGATTGCTCTCACAATAACTATAGCTACCTTATTTAACACACAGTTCATCCAATCCATTTACCTCCTCCTGCTTTTGCTTGTAGCTTTTGTAGTGTTACAATCTCAACATTAGAGCAGCTACTAATTCTTCATATGTTTTGGCTTTTTACTAGCATAAGGCTTTTTAGTGGTAATCATTGTGAAATGTTTGTGGTGTTATAGACTAAAGTTCTACAGCAGAGAGCAAAATTACCTTAGAGAGCAATCAAGTTTGGAATCAAGTTTGAGCCAAGGTGCTTTCTGCAGCAGACCTCAGCGCTAAGCATTGATGATAGCAATGTACATCTATAAAGGACCTTGTCCCAAGATAAGTCATATGTTAGTTTCTTTTGTTCAGCAATGGGACAATATTGCCTTCTAGAAAGCAACCTGTTATATTGGCATAATTGCAGCCTGAGCTCTTTTAAATAAGTATTATTTGACATGCTTGTTTAGTATTAGGCCACTTGTAAAGCTGAAAGAAATTGCTGCCTGTTAGTGGTCACTTACAAAAAAACCTACACCCAAGTAATGAATGCATTATGTAAGCAGCTTATACATATTAATATCAGGCTCTGACCTAAAGTATGGAAACACTAATCCATTTTGTTTTGCATTGTAAAATGATTCTCTGGCTGCGTGGAATCAGGCTCAAATTAAGACCTGATGTGTAACCTATGTATTATGCACTAGTTAATTTTGTATGATAAGGCTGTGCATTTTTTGAAAAAAAGTAGTCATGTCCCAAGTTTCCTGTCTAAGCACGTGAAAGGAGAAAGGATGGTAAGTCTGCTTTCATCACTCCTGCTAGGAGCATGTTGAATGGAAACGCATGAACTAACTACACCTTTCACTGCAGTGTTACTAAAAGGCAAAGTTCAGCACTGTAACTTCTGAAACAGATATTATTTGCACCCAATTCGAAGAATATCTGATACTTGTTTTCCCAGATATGCTTTCCAGGGTTTCACCAGGCTGTTCATGTTCACAAGGAGTTTGCTGGTCCTAGAATCCTCCTGGCCTGCTATAAGATAGTCAGTACCTAGTTTTTTTTTAAAAAAAAAAAAAAAAAAGGAAAAACTTCAGTCAATAAATAGAAGAAAAGAGAACTAAATGCAGAATTTCTCTATTTCATAAGTATCTGGCGTGTAGCATCTTAGCCAGCTTCATCCAGTTTATGCATGTGCCATCTTATGTGTAAACATACTTTCATGTGCATATTGTCACTGTTGACTCCTGGGCACACATGTTCAATGTTGTCATATGATTATGTTCAGGCATTACAACTACAAATTGATTTAGCTCCAATGGCTTTACCGCTTACAAATTCAATACCATGTGCACATGACCAGGTTTGAGTCTGATCTGTTTGACCTTTGTTTTAAGCTATTGTAACTCCACGTGCTTCAGTAGCATTACTCCTGGCTTGTATAGATATGATGAGTAGCAGAATTCAACCTGAACAGATGCGGAACCTGGTATATGAAAATAGTAAGTCAGGCTTCCTAGATTATAACCTTAAGATACAGGTAGCAGAGCCTCAAAAAAGAGGTCTGTGAACAAAAAAGTGGGTAACTACACATGGAGACAAGAAACATAGACTACTAATAATCATGTCACTGCCTTAGTAGATGTATAAGCACTCTTTGTGTTGTATTAACTCTAGTGAGTAAAATTCCCACATTGATCAGCATTTAGAGAAACACAGGCACACCCAGGGCAAGTTACGTGTGAGGTTCTGCACAGAGATCTGCAGGCTGCTACTTATGCCTTTGTCCCTTCCTGACACTACTGCCCTCCTTCTTGAAAGTTGTGTGCTGGGAAGCAAGTGCTAACGCTTGTATAGAAAGGAGGGTGTAAAAGCCCCAAGAAGAGAGAAAAAGTAAGGTTTCCACCATGAGTCAGGGCATACTGTGATCCTGCAGCAGGAGTTCAAACAATATGTTGAAATCTGCAGAACTGCAGTGATGGGGACCTGTCCGTAGCTTTAATTGATATCAAGAGGCAATGGCATAACACCTGTATCTCTAGCATCTAAATTTCTGAGCTGCATGTCTTCAGCCCTATGTTTCTAAAGAGGTGCAAAGTAAAGCTAGAGAGGTAGAAAGGAGAAAAATGTCCTGTGATATTTTCCCTCTTCAAGTATCTGTGTGGGATCAGGTGTACTCTCATCATATTTAGGCAATATATTTTATTCATGTCTGATTCAGGGCTCCCACAGTTTCACAAGGAGCACTGGTAAATACTTAATTAGGCACAACTGTGCCACTGGAGTTTAAGCAAAGGAAGGCACCTTCTTCATTTGGACTACATTAAGCCAAAAATTTTATGTGCAAATTCAAGAACTACCCCCAAAAAGAGAGCTCAGGGTCCATATTACACTTCAATGCAAATTCAGTCTTTTACTCGATACAGAAAATGGAAGACAAAATTTGTTTCTGAGACAGTACAGTTCATTTTGCCATAACGGGAAAAATTTTTACAGAGTTTGATTTGACACAGCCTTTCCTAAAACAGCTGTCTCTCGTATGTGGCTAATTTCAGCTGAGAACTTGTCTTAAAGGTTAGATTAAGCAGTACATTTTAAGTGAAGCACAAGGGATTCCTTTCACTCAGTGGATATGTTTTTAATCTATTCAGAGGAAAAAACATGTAATTTTTCTATCAGGTGCTGCTTTTAGAATGATAGCAAGTCACCATTTTCTGTGGTGTAAGGTTGAATAATGAAACATGATCCCCAGCATACACTACCTGTCAGCCTAATGGCACCCAAAGTCTTTGTCTTATTGGGATTTGATCCTAGGACATGGTCCCAAAGACCTGGAACTTCCAGTGATATGCAGGAAAGCTGTGAGTAATCCAAATCTGTCAGACACCTAGCATCTACTTAGGCACTCAGGGACATGGTTTAGTGGTGGACTTGGCACTGTTAGGTTTATGGTTGGACTCGATGATCTTAAAGGTCTTTTCCAACCTAAATGATTCTGTGATTCTACTTGGAAAAAATAGAGTCCAGGCTCAAATTTGTAGGATTCTGAGATTTACCCAGAGATTTCAGCTGTTGTTCAAGTAAACATATTTTTCTCTGTGGTCCACTAAGTTGTATTGCAGGAAAGGCAGCAATAGGGAAGGTTGAATTGAGGAATGTATCTGTTCAGCCACTGATAACATTACTCAGCACTAGTGTGGAGCTTTGCAGTCTGTAGTGTAATGTTTCTACCTGCAGCAGAAGGTAGTAGAAGGAGAAGTGCTTTCCACTACCCTACTTCTCCACTCCACTACTGCAGGGAGATTCCCGTAATTAAAAGTGAATAAACATGGATCATTCTGATAGACTGTTGTTAGGGAGCAAACCTAGAGACCTATCCTAAACTGGTTATAAAAAGAGGGGCTTTGTCTATATAAAAGATGATTTTTCTAATTATTAAAGATTTTCCTGTCTTGCTTGGTTTGAAATTTAATTAATTTGGTTTTATGCTCTCCACCCATGATTGGTTTCCAGTATGCTGCAGGTTGTCAGCTTTAGGCTTTGATGGAACAAACAATTGAATGCACTAGAATTTACAGTAGAAGAAGGAAGGCTTACTTTTCATTAGTTGAAACCATTGCAAAGGCACAGAAGAAGTTAGATTCCCTCCACTTTCCAAAATTTTCATAATAATTTCTAGTTTTTCCAAAAGGAAGTAAAGCGTGATGTGGGAATATACAGTAAGGAAGAAAACTCTTTGGACATAAAAATACAGGGATTTTTTTTGCTCACAAACATTTTTCTAGTCACAAATATTCTGGAAGATCAAGTAAAGTCACTGAAAGTAAAACATTTCCAGGGAGGTTTGGACTTTTTGGTAAAACTTTATTCTCTGATAACAAAATGCAGCTGTCTGTTCACTCCCTCTTTGGTTTGGATGAATCAACGGACTCTTCCCTGGAAAGACTGATGGGAAGTGTTGAGTAGCCATAGCTAATGTTCATAATGAATTGTCACCACTGTTTACAGGGGAAGAGAAATACCTGGTAAGCATTTTGTCCTTACCGGGATTGAGAATGGGACATGTGCATCCCCTGTTGGTCCAGGATTCTGGGTAAATGCTTCTGTTGCTCCGAGCGATTTTCACTTTGCCTGATTTCAGGACCTTCTTCACTTTCACAACAACTTCTGCATGGGTCCCTTTGTCATGAGCTGATAGGATTCTTGCTTTTATCACTGCCAGAAAACATATCAAGTTAGAGACCAACAATGAATTTCTAAATGAATTTTGTTTTATGCTGCTAAAAGATAGAATTTTGAAAGAAGACATGAAAAAACGCTGCAGTTGTACAGAAAGTGTATTCCAATGCTTGTCCACTTCAGTCATGGTTCTTCTAAATAAATTTGGAGAAGAAAAACTAGATTTTTCTATTGAAGTAGTTAACTGATCCTTTCACCATGTTATTTAGCAATTACTTTTTAATGGGCTGATGTCAAATACTTGGAAATCATAGGAAGGCACTTGTATGTATACATAAGAAGGGTGGAAAAAACAGATCAGCAGCTAACAGTCTAATTTTAAGTGCACTGATTCTAGGCTTTATATTTTGCAGTTTGAAAACTTGTGTTGAGCTTTAACACTGGCCTCTCAAAATTTTTGTCCTATGGGAAGGGACTGTCTGCTCTACAGGAAGAAAGTCAGGAAGTTTCCCATCAGACTGCAGGCATGTCACATGCTAAAATTCCATGATTGCACAACAAACCAGAAAAAGCATTTTTGTTTTGTAGCCTAACATCTGGTTGCCATGATAAATTTCTGTTCCTTTAATTTAATACGATCCCGTAAGTTTTTGGCAGGGTAGTGTCATCTAGATTGGCCCCACAAGCAGGCTTTGTTGTGTCATGACACAAGCACATCAAACCTTTGGATCCCAGAGCTTTCCTTTTTTGCTTCATGTGATGGCATGAACCAGGTGTTCATAAACCATAGTATTAAATACATTCTTGGTAAACAAGTATGGCCATTTGAACCTGCATAATGAGTGCAAAAACAATGGCAGTTTAGATGCAAGCTTTTTATCATTTATTCTTGATGTAGAGGCCAACCATTCCACTGAGTTACAATTCTAGCACTTCTGCTGTAAAGAGGGAAGCTAACTGGGTGGAAAGGAGACACCATGGAGCCTTGCATGAAAGGTGCTATTCAGTTCTGATCACAAGTTGGACATGTCACTAGACAAAAACGGCAGAAGAAATCCTACCTCTTATTTAATGACTTAGCCAGTCCTGTCATTTTTCATAGCTATCAGCTAATAACATGCATAGAGAGAACATTGTGAAATTATCATACCTTGAGGGCATGTCACCCACTTACCATAAGCATATTTCATTTGACAGAAGTCAGTGACACTTCCAAGCACCTTTTCTTTGCATACACACTTTTCTAGCAGGGGAACCGCAGAACACAAAGGGTTGGAGAAGAGCCAGGACACGAGAGAGAAAAGAAAATTATATTCAGTTATAAAGTTATATGTAAATAGCTACCATAATCTGGATGGACCTTAAGAGTAAGTTTGAGAGTGAGCTCAGTTATTTGCAAATCTGTTTCTTGTTAGATGATATAATAATAGTTCTGAAATCTGATCGGTACTGACAAGTAAAATGCAGCCCTCATGGGGTCTATTGTACAGTTAATAAACTCATACTAATAAAGAGATTTGTAAGAATCAGATCCAGGTGTAAATCATGTAAGTAATAATACCCTTGTTCGATCCCATAAGCTAAGAAATGCTGATCCTTGCTGGTATTAAGGTAATATCCCTCTCGGAAAAGTCAAGATATGCAATAGGTGGCACTATTACCTCTGGGTCTTACAAAACCATTGGTGCTGTTAAGTGGTAAAACTGAGAACTATTTGAATATTAAACGCTCCACCTCATTCTATAAGCCTACTTTGTAACTTTAGCTGGATACAGTATACTTTACTTTCTCTCCTGAGCTGTGGTGCCAGGAGGAGTATCTTACTTAAAATCACTTGCATTCTACCCCAGAAGTGGTGTATTTCAGTGATGGCTGACATGATCTTTTTACAAATAGCATTTGAAGTTCTGAACAGCAACTGAATGCTTGAGAAGTAGTTGCGTACAGTCATAAGCATTATGACTATAATTATGACAACAAAAGGAGAGTATTTTCTCCACACAATCTTATTCATGACTTACCAGTTTCCAAAAACCAAAGTTGCATAGTACAGTTGGTTTGGAAAACAACAATGTAAGTGTAATGATAACCTGTATAGTTCAGATTAGCAGATGTTGCCAGCAGATGGGGGACATACAAGCTAGAGATGAGTAGGGGAATTTAAGTCAGGGTGGAGAGAAGAAAGAACTGGCTCTGAAGGAAGTTAGTAAATGTTCCCAGACCCTGGGCTGTACCTGGGTGCCTCAGTGCAGAAAATCCCTGCTCATGGTCATTCCATTTCCACTCCTCTTCGCTCTCGTTGGTTGGCGTTTGCACAAGGTCAGGGATTCGTCCCCCAATGGGGATGTTAAAGAATGGCTTATTGTCATAACTGGGGGGACACATAAAACAAACAGAAGACTTGGTTAGGATAAGAGATGGGTGGGAAGCAGGTGTTTGTAGCATGTGGCTGTATCCAGACAGATGAGCTTGCTTTCTTCAGGTTGGGAGTGCACATAAGAGCAAGACTTCATGCTATATAGAGAGATCACAAGATCTAGGCTTTTATTTAGGCCTTACCACTGCTGACTTAGCATTTTAAAAAGTAACTATGTATTGGGCATTTTTTGCTTTTGTTTGTTTGTTTTTACTGAATTAAGTAACTCCAAGTTAGTGACCACTTACTGATGTCACTAGGAACTGAGGACACCTGCAGGACCCATAAAACTGCAGTCACTCAGCAAATCATAGGATTTCTGTACTGATTAATGCATGTTTGGGGTACAGATGCCTGCCCTCTAGAAACAAGAGGGAGACCTTATAATTCATTTTACCCTGGGCACAGATGAGAGGCAAGCTCTCCAGACTCTTCCATCTATTTCCAAGGCAAACAGGTGTATTTGAAGATGCTGTACATATTTCCATGGTGTTGTGGAGTTGCCTATTATTACTGTAAAAAGTTATCATTTCAAGATTGCCTTGGATAATACAATGGACTTAAGAGTGTGCCAGCCACCAAATGGAATTTAAGAAACCTTTTATGATTTACAGCCACCTTTTCAAAGGATTGTGCACCCTCCAGCATCCTCCAATTACTGTCATTGCTGCAGTATTTCAGTTAATCTTTGTTTCATTTCACAGAATCCCATCTCAAAGTGAACCCAAAGGAGGGCTTCTTTACCCATTGAAACAGTTTCCAGTATGCTGGTCGCAGTCTCTGGCACAGTCACAAGGGCGACAGCCATTTTCTCCAAAGCCCCAGTAGCCCATGAGACATCTATCGCAGTTGGGGCCCGCCACACCTGGCTTGCAGTAGCAGAATCCCGTCTTGGGGTGGCATCGCCAGCTTCTGCTGAAAGTTGCGTTGGCTGAACCCATTGGCTGGCAGGCGCAAGCTATGGAGATACGGTAAGAGGTGACTGAGATTATGTGCCCAGGGATCATCTGGTTAAGTGACATTTTTGCAAGGCTGAAAAACTCGTGCCCTGCTCCTTACGCTCAGTAGTTTTAAGTCAGAACTGGTAAACGTTGCGTTGTCAGCCTACATTTGCAATATGATTTTTCCTTCTTTTTAACTCATTAAGCACAGCAAAACAAGTACAACTGGGACCCATTTATGTGTGAAAGTCAGTGCTTCCCTACTACACAAATATTGACCATACAGGGTTTTGAAGTGGTGGCAGGAAGCCTCCACTGTGTGTTTATTTTTAAAGGGGCTTGCAGGTGGTTCACTTTTCAAATGTTTTGCAAAAAGATGCACTAGCATGAACGAGGTGAAAAATGATAGCTATTGCCTACATTGTCTTTCCTGTGAAGGAGATCACAAAACTACTGTTTCCTCTGGGGCTAGATGCGGCTTATGCAGGTGGTTCAGATAACCTGAAACATTTTTTCGATTTCTGCCTCCAAAGAGTCCACAAATTTCCTTCAGTGCGAGTTCTAAGGGACACATCTCACCATGCAGTACTGTATGTGTGTAAGGAAGCTGATAATTTTTTTTGTACAAATACATGAGCATATTTGTTATAAGGAAGGTGGACAGAATGAGAGAAGATCTCTAAACTCATTAGACATATTTTACATGTAGCTGGAGATGAGCAAATAGGAGGAAAAAAACCCCAGATCTTTCTAATGCTATTGGCAGTTTGACACCAGCCTGGCAACTCAAGGCAACTTGGCAGTAAAACAGCTCCTGTGGCAACTCTGCCTTCACAATAAATTCTCATAATCCCATGCCACCAGTGCATTCCCAATGTGACAGCATCAGGGAGTGAGGTGGAAAGTAATATACAGGTAGTAGTGCAAAGGCAACACAGTTGACTCCTCTCCGTCAGGGCAGAGGCTAGCTGAGATGGTCAAGCCTTGTGCCAACAGCTCTGCAGAGGTAAAATACAAGCAATAAACATACCCACTCATTTCTGATATTCAAACAAATTTCATTAAAATGAGAACTGAGCTGAACTCCAGGCCTTCATGTTTCAGCTCTTTTTTGTATTAACAAAGCAGCGTGCCCTGGCTTTTGCTTGTAGCAGAGACTGAAAAGGAAATGCATCACTACTTCATCCATCTGGAAGAGGGCAGAAATAAAAATCTTATGGCTAAGACCCACTTTAGCAGAGATTTTCAGTTAAATGTTGGACACCCAAGGTGTTTAGATAGCTTGGATCACGGGCCAGCCTTTTGGATGCTTATCTGAACCAAACATGATCTCCAAAGCTTTTGAAGTTTGCCCATCATTGCTTCTAATCAAACTACTTTTCTTCATGAGCTCACAGATAAGAGACCAAATGAACACTCTGATTCCACACATCATTTTCCAAGGGGAAGGGGCAAATATATGACTATAAAGAGTGTTAAGTGTAGCAGGGACAATTCATTTTCACCTCATATTTGATGCTAAAGAAAATAAAATATCTTTTGAAAATAGTACGAGAAAAAGGGTGAGCAATTCTGTTTAAAGGGCATTTCTCTTATAATCTGCTTACTACATAGTTATTTTTTTCACAATGCCCCGTGTTCTTTATGCCAATATTTTTAATAATATTATTACACTCTGCTGTAGACAGATCTCAGTCCGTTGTTTTCAAGGGACACTAGCACAATAGCCTAAGGACAGAAAATAAGCGTGCTGTCATGGGCAATGTACTCAACACAATGAGCTGGTTGGCGGATGGCAGCAGGCTCGCCTGTTTGCCACAAAGCAGTCTTGACTTTGGGAGCAAACCCAGGGATTTTGCTGTCAGTTCTGGAGAGCAGGTGTAACAATGAAGAGCTCATTAGCACTGACAGTTTCAAAGGCAAGTTCTGATTTGTTGCTGCTCAACTTGAATTATTTTTGCCCAGATTTTTGCAGGGCTGACTACATCACCCTAAAAGAGGAGACACTTAGTTCCATCTGTCACTGAAAAAAATGGATGTCATAGATTTGGGGATAAGGAGGGGAAACACAGGCTTCCTTTACTGCAGACAGGTCTGAGCCACAAGAAGTAAGAGATTGCCAACATCTGGGTTAGGTTGAACCCAGGTTTCTGGTTTCACTGTAATATCTCTGTATATAGAATCTACCTGTGCAATTTTCACCTTAAATTTCTTGTACTTCTGCAACTTCTGGGTCTGTCTTTATTCCCATCTTATTTCTGATTTTCAGGTTTCATCAGTTAGGGTCACATAACAGATGGGTAAATCATTAGCATCATTAGACTACCTATCACCAACTGAGACTAGATCCTGATTCAGGAAGATGAGACCTTCTCCCATCCTATCCCTAAGGGAAAGTATGGAAAGTATTACAGGACGGTGACTGACAGCATTGGCAGAAACTGAGGAGGAGGTAGGAAAAGAGTGCCTTTTTTTTTTTTTTTTTTTCCCATTTTGGGGCTACAGTTCAGGAAAACTAATGTTCCCAAATGAACCGTGGGGCATATTCCCCAATTAGAAACTGGGACAGCTTCTGGTGGATCAGAAAGCAAGCTGAATCAATAAATGTACAACCCGTTCAGATGAGTTATACAAGTGGCTTGCAAACGCTTTACTCGGTCTGTGTTTATTTAGCATTTCAGCTTGGGTGTGTACATTGTCTGGCTTCCAGAGTATTACGGCCAAAATCCCAGTTGGGCATCTAAGGTAACTCCCAAAATAAGAGCCCACATGTCACATGCTGTTGGTGACTGGGTTTTATCTGTTTAATAAAGATTTGCAGATAAACCTCACAATTAAAGAAACATAAAAGCAAGTTTCCAAAACCTCACCCTTTTACATTTCCCAATATTTGACAACACAGCATCTTTCCCTGCTGATTTTTGCTTCTTTTCTCTTGGCAAACCCTAGTTTTCTCTCCATCCGCCTCCCTGCCTAACAAAACACCAGCCGACATGACAATGGCCTTGTTTGTCAAAGGCATCATCAATTATGTTAGGGACGGTGTGCAGACAGTTCTGGCTCAGAGAGGGCTGGTTTATTTGGGTTCTTCCCTTGACAGCAGTGTAATGAAAAATTTCATCATTGTACTTTAGAATTGGCTATCAGTCACGAAGTATCAAAGCATCCTCTTGCCTTTTAGTCTCACTCCTATACTAAGTTTGTTTTGTCAGAAACTACTGTAAAAAGGAGGAGACAAGGAGTAATGAAAAATTAATACATATTAAAAATTAATACAATTAATTCATACAGCAGTCTCCACTCAAGTCCTCAATAAATCTGTCTGCCCTCAGCACAGCTGTCTTTCCCATGTAATTAGACACAGATGTAAAATATAATATTGGTTGTAACAATATGGTCCCAACTTACAGGAAAATAGCAAGTGCTCCAAGTAATTCAGTGGACTTTGAGGTATTTTGCCTTAAACTTCTGTCTAATAATACTGCATAAGATATAGCTATGAGCAGACTCTGGCTATTTGATGAAAAACAGGCAAAACAAAAAATCAAACAAAGCCTTTTGAATCTGAAATATATACATGTGCACCTAGGGAGCATATGACCAAATCAGGGCAATTTTTAAAGCATGTCAGATGTGGGGATTGACTCAGCCAATCATGTTTCTTAAATGAAGGAAATAAGATAGACAGCTGTGTGTGTGGTCAGGGCTTATTAAGACAGACTTTGAACCAAGATGTGATCAGGCCTTTGTGATATTACAATTAAAAGTTCACTCCCTCTGCTCAGAAGTAAAAGGATGAGAAGCAGAGCTTTTCAGACTGTGTGCATGTGCATGTGCATCTGGGCATATTTTAATTTTCAACCGTTGTGCTTAGCGTAAAAAAGCTTGTTTTCCTGGAGACTTTTTTAATGGGTCTACATGCCTGCATTATTTTTTAAGCTAAGCAAAGGGTGAGTACAAAAGATGGTGCCATTTCAGAAGGATCCCTTAAGCCTCCAAATAAGCCACAGGAAAGAGCCAAGGATACAGCAGCTTTTCTAACCATTGGTTAGGAAACGATTAGGCTTCCGAGTCAAAGCTCCCATACAAGTCTATATCCAAACTACTTAATCCTGTGTTGTCACCCACAATAACAGGCAGGTGTGTGCCTTGCTCTGGGACTCTTTTCATGACTTCTTTTTTTTTTTTTAATATAGATCTAAGCAGTGTCAAAACAAGGCTCTGCACACGACCTGGCTCTCATTCATCCCCAGCTGCTAGGAACAGGAGAAGCAAAGTGATCAGAGGCAGGCTACATCTGCAGACAAAAAGGAATAGCAGATTCACACTTACATGTCAAATTTCAACAGATTTTTTTTTTTTTCAAGGGAGTATCTTTGCAGTCTCACATTGGAGGGTCAGCAAAGGGTGGTTTGGATAGTGCCGGGACATCCAATTGTTATACAACTTTTTTTTCCTAGCAGTGATTAAGAGAGAATGCTATTCATTATTATGACTAATGCTTAAAGACTCTTTCTGGGCCTGGGCAGTGTCCTGTAACTTTCTGGGAGCCTGAGGGCGATGTCACAGCTGAACCTAGACTTTGCTCTGGATGGCAGAGCACTCTTCAAGCGTGCTTTCTCAAAGGGATTAGCACAGCATTTCATTCAGCTTTTTCATCAGGTTTCCTTTCCCAGCTCAGTATCTACTGTACACAAGGGTCAAGTTTTGATCTCCCATTGAGGGTTTTTTTTTTCCCCCTCTGATTCAAAATGGGAAGCTGAGGACCAGGTTGCTCTCACCAAAATCATCCATTCAGTCTGCTGTTTGCAGCTTATTACTGCTTTTCAGCACTTGCCCAGTAGGTGGGTTTTTCATTTAGTGTTGTTTGTCTGGCGCTGTTTGCATGGTTTTCTCAAAGTGAGATGATGCCTTGGAATTGGTACATTTAAATCCTCACAAACATGCTAATCCAGAAGTGGCAGCTCTTCAATTTATGATCAGCAGCCTGAGGTATGAGAGAAATGTACTTGGTGGTCTAATTGTCTAATTTCTTACATATTAGCAATGCTAAAACAGTAACTGTTTTTTACTGAGTAACCAGAGTTGTTTTTAGGGTCACACAACCTGAACAATTTACTCAGATCACACCAGATTAAGTTTCATAGCAATGCAAGTTTTGCAACCTAAAGGATGGAGAAGAGGGCCTCTATCTTACATCCCGCATGAGGCCTTTCAGTTTAGTATCAGCTCTAGGCATAAGGAGCTGATGATGGTCGTGGAGGTGAAATCTTCCCTCTGTCAAACTGAGTCTGTTCTAACCAAAACAACTCTGCCTGTCTGCACTGGTGTTTCTGGTTTTGCTATCGCTGATAATAACCAAAGTAGTGAAACGTTCCCTGAAGATTCTCTGCAGAGGTACAGCATAACATGAAGTGCACACTTATACACTGCCTGCGAACCACATAGGGAAGTGTTTGGGGATCAGTTCTTTCATCATACAAAACACTACCCTATTAAGGTAATTTGTCAATTGTCATTGTGGGAATTCTCCTCCTCACCTTAAAGAAAAGAGAAAAGGCACAGACTAACCACTCCCCTCCCAGGCTTCTTTTAACTCTGTAGTTATATCTGCAGTGTCCCTTCTATTTCCACACAGGTACAAGCATCGTGCACACATCAGTCTGCTGTAAAAGCTGAGAGGCTCTAGAGTGAACTGCAATACCCTTTCCTTGTATCTTGATTGAATGCATTACATTCATGCATACCTTTACATGGCTGTGAAAGGTCCCATTGACTTGAATCATGCACAGATACGGTCATGCTTACCTATTTGCAACAGTGCTGAATCAAACCCGTTAGATTCATCTCAACCAACAGAAACTAGTGCAGGCTAGTGATCCAGAATACCTCTTAAGTCAAAGAAGAGAAATAGATATCCTCTAGAGGGCATTTCAGCTCATCTATCTCAGACATCTACATTAAGGCTGCAATAAGTCATTCCCTAGAGGTCCCACTGTTTCTCCACTGACTGTACAGGGACCCTAGAAAAGACATACAACTTTCAGGTGGCTAAAGCGGGATGGCAGCTATCCAGGCCTGAACGTGCAAGTCAGAGTAGAAACAATTGCATTTGGGGGCCTTCTGCTGGCAGCAGCATGTTCCCAGGTGAAAAGGACATTGTTGTGCTTGACTGGCACGATAGAAATAAAGCTCTTTTAACAAGGTAAATTTCTGAACGGTTTTTCTTTTGCTACGCAGAGTATTGGCAGGAGGTACGGAGAGGCCTGTAACCAGACAAGACAAAAGAGGCAGAGGTAGAGTCAAGGTCTGATTTCATCCAGGCAGACTGTTCTAGGGTTTCCACAGAGATAGGCTGTATTTTCAAACAATGTTTTTTCCTCTTTGCTGCTCTCCAGTGCTCCTTGACTTTAGCGGTTATCTAATATTACACATGATGTTGGTTACTACACCATCACCCTGCTGTTAAATACAAGAGTTCATACACAGATTCTTTCAGGTACTATGAGACTGAAAACTAATTTTCTGGCACAACAATTTATTCTTATTACAATATTTCCCTGTAGCAAATCTGCTCAGAGTAGAAACAGGACTAGAAAAGGGCCAGCATAGAACACTATGGGATACAGGCTCAGTTAGATAAGCTCACGCCCAGCCCTGTCCGCTGATCAGTGTTCTGTGATGAACGTTGTGAAATCAAAAAGAAGGGGTAGTGCGGAAGCAGTCTGCTGGCACTAAGATTCAGTGGAAAGAATACAAAAGAGCAGAAACATAGGATGTGTGGTGCACAGAAAGTTTAAGCAATATCACAGGCCATACAGTCCTAGGGAGAGGAGTGTTTGTAATCTGTTTAGGAGGAATCTTGATGAAGAACGTCAAAGGGTCAAGAAAGCTTCAAAAGCACATGATGCCAGTGGGCATGAGTATAGATGACAGAGGATGAAGTTCTCTGTGCTGGCAACTGATGTCTGAGCTACGGGGAAGGAAAACTATCCAAAGGGAGAAATGAAATTAAGTATATTGTTAGAAGTAGCAACCTCCCAAATAGATGCCAGATGCAATCAGATTGTGAAGCATGGCAGGATACTCAGGAAATGTTTACACTAAATAAGGGAGTTACAGGCTGTGTTCCAGACTGGTTGGGTGAAAACTACCTTGGATCCAGAGGTTGTACACCCTCTGTGTACAACCATTAGTGCCTCTATGCCCGAATTACTTCCTAACACATCCTTCTGAAGTGTTAATGAGGCAATTAATTTGGGCAGAGCACCCCATAATACAGCTGTAGAATCCAGAGATAAGTCTGAGTGAGCTTTGATCTATTTGTTCCCAAGTGGGTATGCGTGGTCTCGTGCTTCCTACACCTCCTGCAGCCATTATTATATGTATTTAAGTGCACAGATGTTGCACAATCAAATGGAATTTAACAATAGTTTACACATAGGTATACACCGTCTTGAGAGATGCAGAAAAAAACATCTAAATAAAGTGTGCCTCAAGAAAAAATGAACCGTATTATTTTAAATGCAAGCACAAGAAGAATGTACCTTTCCCCAGAATGAAATGCATTTGGAGAACTGTAGCAGTTGTCACAAAAAAAACGTGTGATACCAGGGGGAGAAATAGACACAGAAAATCAGGAAGATGACCTTTGATCAGAAAACTGTACTTTAGGAAAAGAATACAAAGAAATGATAGTAATACTCATGAGTTACTTCTATAGGAGTTATTGATTTCTTTCTTTTAATGATTCTTCCACCATTCATCTTCACCGCATGTAACAATAGTCACTTACGTTTGCAGACCTCTGCAGAAGACATGGGTTTCCCTCTATCTCGGTAATACCCCGGTTTGCACCTTTGACACCGATGTCCCTCTGTGTTATGCTTGCAGTTGTCACAGACTCCACCACTGCGCTTTCCTGATGCCAGCCAAACACTCAGATCAAAATGGCAGCTATCAGCATGGTTGTGACAGCGACACTCTGGTGAGAAGCAGGAGAATATATTTCAGGCTTATATAATAGACACAGCAATACTATTCAAATGGTATCATTTTCCTACTGTGAATCACGGAGGAAATATTTGAATGTAACACATTTCATCTGCCTGCAATCCTTGATTTTCATAAAAACTAGAAATTGCAACAGAGAGTGATAGTCCCAGTCAGGGTGGTTGTGAGCTGTGTGGTATTTTTACAGCAAGACAAACCAATCTGATGGTATCGTAAGTCCTGCACAAAACCCTGGAACGCTAGAACACGTGAGGAGACATAGCTGCATGAAGAACAGATTTCTGCCTTGTGAATTCCACTTCCCAATAGCCCAAATGGGTCAGCTGCTGTAAAACAACATGCATACTGAAGTTTTCCATCAATGACCAGCAACTTATCCCCAGTTTCTGTAATGGCACCATTAGTGTAAATCGACAGAAGTCTTTGTTAGGGAACTTTGCCTGCTGGCATGGTGAGTGCTCATCCTGAAAGCCTGGGTCAGTAAACTGCCTCCCACTTACTTCTGCATTCATTTGGCGCCCCTGTTTTTCCATCTCCTGGCTTCCAAGGCTGGTCATTGTATAGTGGTGCACATTTCTCACAGTGGTCCCCTGCTGTGTTGTGTCTACACACGCACTTCCTGAGAATACATTCAAATAGCTACAAGCAAGAACATGGTGGAGTGCCCAACAGCCTCACGAGGAGGTGGGACTTCTCCTGCACAACTCCCACACAGCTGCCTGGCTCTCTTAGGGAACCCACAAAGCCTGGAGCTTAAATGTGTAGCTTTATCTCTTCACACAGTCACTAATGATGTAGATTCTTCCTCTATATTCCAGTCTAAATGCATGTGGCAACAATTTCTTTTTAACTCTCCAGTTGACTATTTTACTACTACATTGATGAACAGCCTTATTTAAATTGGGTAAGCTAATGCAGCTTATTTTGATTTCCAAGTACAGGGCAAGAGCATGCAAAGACCCTGAGCAGACAGTAACCTCCAGGCAGTGTAAAATACACTCTCGGCTAGCAGAGCTGAGCCACAGGAGAGCACAGTCTAACAGAGGATGCTGGACCTTGTCTTATTTGACATTGTCTGGAAGAGAGAGTAAATATAGGGCAATGAAATCACCATGAATTACTAAACTACAAATTGTTAGAAGAATGAGCAAGTAATCCTGGACGTCCTAGCACAGTTAAAAATGTAGCAAAAATATTAAACCTGGAAAAATACCAACCAGTATACCCACAGAAAAACAATCCAAACCACACATTCTGTGAGAGGAAAGCACTGATGTTTGAAGAGACTTAGGTACGGTAGACACCAACCTACCAAC